TAGCCGAAAGGGCATTTGGCAACATCGCTTTAATTACCAAAACAAACTAGCTTTAATAGGCGCAAAACAGGAAAGCGTGTTGTCACAGATGCACGACGCACCAAGAGGTGTTCTTCTGTCGAGGGACTCTTATGGAAACTGCATTAAGAGAACTGTAATTGTAGCAGTTGCGTGAAAGCTTGTTCCACCACTCTTGCTCCGTTTGTCATTCAAAAACCCATCTTCAATTTTTTTTTTCCTCGACGGAATGTTCCTGCTATGCAAGACACTCCAAACCAGTTTCTGATAGCTTCCAAGAAAAGAGGAAGTCGCTGCTAGTCTCATCTCTGAGTGAAATCCGTGGTTCTGAATTCAGACTTTCGTTGAACTTACAAAACAGGGGCATAGCTAGTCGAGCATAACTTACCAGAGGAGCGTGGTATGCTTTCACAACGAATTCCTGCGATTCCGGTTGGACATTTACAAACAGCACAATTCCGAGGATTCTCATAGCCACCGTGAAGACAGTTCAGCTTCACTTTACATTTATCTTCAAATGAGCAAAATTTTCGAAGACAGGAAATGAAGTACGAATTTGGTTTACTGCTTGGTGTGAAGAAAATCTCAGCAAGAAATCTAAAAAAAAAATTCATCGGCGGCACCCAAAAAATTTATCCTTGATGTTTAGAATCGTTCAGAATATCAGCTTACCGAAATATTGGGGGAAATCACATTAAGTTTGAGAAGACTGATTCAGTGGAGCAGTGTTTGGCTTAACAAGATAATCAGGAAACCTGTGTTCAGCTTGGTCATATGACTGCATTCTAGACAGCAGCCCTACTCCAGTAAAGTTGTGAAATTTATGGCGAAACGGTTTTGCAACTTATTCTAACTCTCGATAATTCGGGAAAAGTTAATTTTTTTCTTGCCATGTCATTTTCTAAGCCTCACTTTGATTTCACTAACGGGTTAAGTATCATACAGGGAAAACGAAGAAAAAGCGTTTCTTGCATTGAACTGGTCACTCACCACTGCAGTATAGTCGGTTTGCTTCCTTGATGTCAATGAAAGACAGATCGTTTCTTTGACCGATCGTATGCTGGAAACGATGGTCCTTCGTTTCGATTGTCACATAGTGATAATCATTGGTGAACGCCTTCAATAACTACTATTTATTATTTGTAGAAAATATGCATTGTGGACATGAAAAGTAGGTGCACTCGCAGGACACGGTGCGCCTTTTGTTAGACAAGGCATCGCGTATCACTTTCACTAAGAATGGTAGCCACAAAGCCGAACTTGATCATTCGACAGCTGACAGGCACCGATTCAACCAAACATTGATCAGAGAGCTGCAAAATTTTTTGTCCGCCCGTCTAGGACTTTAAGTAGCCTGTTAGATCATAATAATAAATAAAAGTAATACGCGTGTAATGAACATGAGGCCGAATTTACAGGAAATTGACCTGTGGCCCGTAATGCATCACGGAGCCGAAATCGTATGGTGTGTCCAGAACCGCAATATCGTTACGTTTCTCAAAATTGCCTTTCGTTCCCGGATATATATGATCCTCGTTTATGTTGATAAATCTGAATTATGTCTTAATCAATAGCAAACTCAACTAAGAAAATGCATATTCTTGTTTTTCCGCCTACTTTTTGTTTGAATTGCGACATTTTACAACTGATTGTGGGAACAATTTTTTTCCGCATGCAGCTGAACATCTTAGAACTAATTTTTACGCTTGTTCTGCAAAACTACGCTAGTCAAATTCTGCATTCATTTTTTTGATTTTAACATTTGTTTGCTAAATTCTAGGTCTGTTTCGAGCATAATCGTTCAACACCGTGCCTTTTTGGATGCTCCTGGAGCACAAACAAAACGACGCTCCTGGGTTACGTCACGCTCTCAGTATGCAAGCTGACTGACCATGGGTTTTAAGACAAATCTCTAGCAATTTTAATGAAAGCACAATTGATACTTACTTGTCGCGGTCCGGTCGACTTTGTTCATGCCAGAAACCAAGTGTATGTCCCAGTTCGTGAGCAACAATACCACCCTGTCATAATAGAGGACAGTAAAATTTCAAACTGGATGATGTGTTTACACCTTTAAGGCCATAACTTAAAACAGGATTTCCCAGGGTGAATCCATTTTCATCAGAAGCAGCCCCCATCTTGCTTTTTTAATAGTACCCAAGATAAAGAACCATTGACGGCCTCGCTAGCAGAGGCTCATGATCTAGTAAAACCAATTCTTTGATGAATGCGACCAAAGAGTGAAATGCGAAATGATTCGAGGCAAAAAATTTACAGCTTACACTTTCGCAACCGTATCCGATGGAAGTGTATTGTTTTCCACCAATTCTGCCAACACTCGAATAACATCTGCAAAATATCCCCAGGAAGGGAATCGCACCACTCCCTTCGCATGCGGACACAACACCGGACCTTGTGTTCCAGGTTCAGCTTGGCAGCACATCTACTGTGTATCTGCTTTTCAAGGTAAGATACACCTTTCTTTTCTTCTCTACCTCTTATTAGCTTCGATCTTTCTCTTTGTGGTGGCTTTTTCTTGGCCAGTTTTTCTTGGTTTTTCCGCGACAAATACTTGACGTTTTAGAAACTAATTTTTGGCGGTGGACGTTCTGCCAAATTAGATAGCTGAGCCGCTAAGATCGTTCTGTGCCTTTACTAGAATGCAGCAGTGCTCTGAGTTAATCTCTGTCAGAATCTATTTTTTTGGATAACCTGCTGAATTCGGTTGTGACCTGTCATCCAGTACAATTGCCCTGATGTATGGCCGCTTTCTGCCTCAAAATTACCAGTCACGATATCCTCCAAGAAGATTAGCTTGCTTCTGTGGTCATGGCTTTAACCCAAAAAGCCAATCAGGTGGCGGAAAAAAGTACATTTTGTGCACATGGAAGATTGTTTATGTCAGTAAGCAATTTTACTGACTTTTGGATCTTGCAATTCTCAACTTTTACAATTGCTGTCTTTTAAAAAATACAGGAAATTAAGAATATGGAAGAAAAATTTTCGAAAAATGTACCCCGCTCCTCGAAATATGTACACATAATCCTTCTCATCAGTGCGCTCCTTGAAATGCACACATGTCTCCCGCTCCCATTTATTCATTCCCTCAATTACCAGCCTCCTCCATTCACCTAAATTCCAGTTTAAGATTTCGCAAATCATTAGTTTTACCTCTACAGACCCGTTGTGAACGCTCTCATCTCCTTTGATGGAATGCGAAAACGTGTGTTGTCCGCTAAAATTTAACCAGCAGCAGCAGTAGCTAATAGATGCTCTAATGTTTGTGGCACAGCTGCGCTTGGCCAAGTAGCCTCCCTCTACCTCGCAGCAAAATCAAGGAGGAATTGCGTGCATCAACAATCACAGCGGTTTCTGCTCTCTGCCATATACAACGCTAGAAAAGCCGTGCTGCAAATAAACACAAATCTCCGAAATCGTAAAACACTACGGGCTGAAAAAAAAAACTGAGAGGATGAAAACAATTTGAAAAATTTTTTTCCAAAAAAAATCATGCGTAAAGAAAAAATCCTCAGCTTTCAACAGTTAAAACCGATTTCTTGTTCTGCCCTCTTGCTCCGCCTTCTTTCTCTCCTCCCGTATATTTTTCTAAATATTTTTCTTAGCGTTTCTGATGATGAGTCAAAATGTTACGGAATCTATGACGGTGCCAAAAAGAGCTGAGCATTTAATGCGCCAGAAGTGGTATCCTTCGAACTGGAAGTAACTAACATATATTTGAGTTTAGCACTGCAATAAGACCAAAAACTTCCCGCCAAGGATCCTAGCGTTTTTGATATATGAAAATATTACGATCTGTCTCTTTCAAAAAATATGGGACAGTTTGGCGTGGCCATCGAAATGAATCACCAGCAATCGCTTTTCTCTTGTTTCTTCGCGTTTTTCGCGTCCGTTCTGAAATGAGTATTGTGCTAAATCTTGCGAAATGTTCTGGGAAAGTAGCGGAAGAAACCTGCCTAGCTAAAAGAATGTAGGTAGCTGAGAAGAAACTTCCTTGAGCAGTCATATTTGAAAAGTTAATTTTGAAACTAGTACTTTGTCAGCTCTAGCCTCATATGTCTAGTACTATGATCGTTTTCAGGTTATTAGTGTGAAATTCCCGATGACTGCTAAGACGCTTCTGGAAACCGCTTACATGTACGCCAAGCCCATGTACCTTGCGTTACCGCTCTCAGTTAACAGCGCTGCCACACTCATTCTACCATTAAAATGTTATTGAACAGATTGAAAAAAAAATTATCACACAGCAAGCAAAATGCCTCTTAGAAGAGGGGTGATGCCGCTAAAATAACTTCTGCGAAAGGTGGACACAACAGACAGCGGGCACAAATAAAAAAAACATGCGCCTCAAGATAGACCGCCATATGGATAAGCTTCCGAAAAATGGCCAGAAGCTCCTCCTTCTGTCAAAACTGTCATTGTTCGCCCTTTTTCAGGATAGACTTCTGGCTGTTTTACTGGTCAGGCTTAAAAAATTTCCAGAAGTTATATTTCAAAACAAGTATGTTTGTTTTTTTGTTACTCTCATTCCAGAGATGCATAATAAATCCTGAAACTGGAGAAAAGCAAATACGTTGTTGGAAATCGCTGATAATTTTACGCATCTGCGGTGTTGTCAGAACGAGATCTGTCTCAAAAACATCGTTCAAAATTCGTTTATTTACTGCATACTCCGTCCGATCCACGATTTTATACTTTATTGGTTGCTGAAAATTTCTGTTTTCTTTCTGTGGAATTCATTAATTTTCTTTGCAGCACTTGTTTTCAGCTGCATTTTTTTTTTAAATATTCAGTTTGCGTCATAAAATGAAAGCATGCCGGTGCAAATGCGCTTCTCTGGACTTTCAGGAACAGCGGCAATTTCGCCGCGAGCATCGTTGTCGAACCTAAGTATGAAACGGGTCGTAAAAAGCTTGATTGTCCTAATGGCTGAGTCAAATTCTGGACTACCAGCACGGCTGCAGCGCTAGTTCTCAGTTTGTCGAATACAACAACAAAAACGGAAGCGAATTTTTATAAAACGTCTGATAAAGCAGGATGTGAGCTAAAAATTAACGAATTGCTCCATGCTTAATTTCTGTCCAAAAATCGATTATTTTTTTCTGTATCAGTTTGATGTTCCTGGGCCAACATTTCGTGCATTCAAGTGTTGCTTTCAAGCTAAATTAACACCATCTTGGCTAAATTCTGCTTTCTTGACTAAGTTTAACATCAGATTGCCCGGTTTCTTGTAGTTTTACTTTTAACAAGTATGATCCTCTCACCGCATGGCAAACATTTCGAAAAAAAAAAAAACATCTATAAATTAGTTTTAACTCACGGAAGCAAAATTGGAACGTCGTTTTGGTGTTAACGGTACATCGGCTGTTAAGCGAAGGAATCCACGCAATAATTCTCGGACATTTTCACTGTCTTCTTGATTCCATCGTCTTCTGTACAATTGTGGGAATAAATTTTCTGCAGGTTTTTTGACACAAAATTTTTAATTTAAAGTAGCAAGATGAAAATGTAAACTCTTTTTTGTTGCGTCAAATTGTTGCAGGCAAAATGAGAACTGGTTTAGGATGAATGACTGACTGACTGACTGAACGAATGAATGAGTGAATTAATGAGGGGATGAATGATGCGTCATTTCTTGATAATCATTTAGCATTGCATGACCGAAACCTTCGTTGAAGACGAGTTTCATCGCTTGCCGGTAGCACGAAAAATCCAGCTATTGCTATGTTGCACAATCCAGAAACCAGTGTTATGCGCTGTATAAATTTTTCTGGATGCACTGTGCCGCTATCGAACATCCCCTTCTTATGAAAAAGAATCACATTTTGAGAGTAACAATTGTTGTGACACAATTCAGGTGAGAAGTGTAAGAAGATAGCCATTTCTACTGGAAATCAAAATAAATTAGAGGTGCACGACTTTTCTGGGAAATTGTGGCTACACAGATGTGGTCAGTCAGCAGATTAGGGGGCCAGTAAGGAAAGGTTGAATATCGCAAGCGACAAATCGATTATCGGCGGAACACAGGACAGGATCAGTGGGCAGAACCGCTTCCAGAAAACGTGTTTTGAATTTCCATTTTGAACGCAAGCATCATTTTTTGAAACAATCCCGTTCAGTAATTTATTGCCATTACTGAATTGCTAGCTAAATAATCACCAATTGTTCCAGAATATCTATTCTATTCTGGAGTACCTTGATAAGAATAAAAATAAAGATTACTTTTATAAGAATAATAAATAAGCAAATAAAGTCTAAATAAACGCTGAATAGCAGAGGGGAGGCGCAATTTGAAGAAACGCATAAGACAGTAAGAGGCGAAAGGAAAGTAAAGGAATAGCCCGAGGAAAAAAATTTTCCGAATCTCTCTGCTTTTTCATAGGAGTCTAATCCGCCACCGACATATTGTGTGAACCGGCAATCTCAAACGCAAACAGTGAAAAGCCTGTTTTATTCATTATATTCATTAGCAGACATTTTTCCTCTTGCAAAATGTAGCCCAAGTCATATTCAAATGAATAGTGGAAATACAGCTGTGAAAAGTCCTGAATTAGGCTGCCATATGAACCTCAAGCTGCAACGCACCAGGTTTGTTTTTGTTGATCATGCGTTTTCGCGCTAAACTTGCAGATTGCTAACAGCAGGAACGGCTCCTGCGCTGTAATTTAACACTTGTCCTCACACTAGCTGTGTTTTGGCCTCTTTCCGCATCTACAGCAACAGCTTTCTGTCGAGGAATGATTTATGCGTCGAAACAACTAGTGTACGCTGAAAGCAAATAACAGGGGAGATCCAAATATGAATGTGTGCACAGGTCACCAAATTTCAATAAAAACGACTGTTGCAAGTCACCGATTGGCTAAACTCGATAAACTTGTAAAAAATCATCTGGAATAATTTTTATGGCTAGGGATGGCAGATTTCAGTGCGGCCTGGATTCTTTTTCGTTTAGTTTTATATGACTTCTGATGATTCAGGATAGTGTTCAGTTTTATTCCCATGCAAGCATGCGGATTTCAAATCTTGGTATAGAAGTTTTATGAATATAGCACTTAATGAGTTATATGCTTTCTTAAGCAGTAGCTACTTTTTACTAAAGTGGCAGTGCGAAAAGCACTCGCAAAATACAGGAAAAAGAGACGTTCCGTGAAATTTCTAAAATTTATGCAAGCAGAGGTAAAATGCTAACTTTCTTGAAATGTCTGCACATTCAGAAAAGGGGGAATTTGTGCTCTGTTTTGCTGCAGAAACAAATGCAGAATTTGTCCTTCTTTAAGCTGTCAACACTTCAACATTTTTGTTTTATTCACTCTTAGTCAAAATGTTAATAATTTTTTACTCTTATGCTCTTGAAAAATGAACAATGTTTTATCATAATTAGCTTATTGCCCTCGGCCACAGAATTTCACTAGAAGTAACGTGCCCCTCGGGTAGCACTCACAGCGCAAGTCCGAACCGATCACCAAAGCAAATTGAATATCTAAAAAAAAAAAAAAGAACCGGCGTAATTTATTGTTGCCCGAATTAGCGGAAATAAAGGTTCTGGTAAAGTAAAATGCGTATAAGGAACAAAATGAAAGGAAAAAGGAGGGAAAGAGGTGATTGTAATTTAAGACCAATGTTTCTGAATGAAATTCTAAATGATGCGAATATCGTGAGCAAGGAGAGACGGGCCGGGGGCTGGATCTCCAACTCGTCACGGGCTACCTGTTCAACAACCAGTTTAACACGTTGACAAATCACTCAAATCCTTCAATCTGTTTTCATATGGAATTTTTTCCCATATTCATACTTTTTACGTAATAATTACAATATTTAAGAAAAAATTTGACAGTTTAGTTGAAATTTTCGTTTGTTCTTGATTAGACCAATGATTTTTCCAATAAAAGCCTGATCGGAGAAGTGCTAATCCAGACCAGAAGCAAAAGGCATTGGTGAAGCAGCAGCATAATCCAAGAAAGAATTATAAAATCATTGGCAACGCGCACCAGGCTTGCTCACGAACCTGACGTGTCGGAGCATCTCAATTAGCCACACTGATATCCCGGGCGGTTTAGGTATTTGTTGTATTATTGAGAGTGTTAATTTCTTGAATGCCTCACATGTTCAAATGTTGAAATACTGTTAGCAGAAATTTCGTGTTTTATCACACTGGTACAGAACTCATCATTGTACTGTAAGTATAGTTACAAACGAAAATCCCCTGAATTATTCTCTGTCTAAAATGCAAGTGCTCGCAACGTCCGTACCCCCGCTTCTTAGAAATTCAGCTAACTATTCGTTGCAAAAGTATCAAGACAGTAGCGAGCCGGTTCTCGTCCCAACGGAATTAGACTGAAGCTGGAATTCCTCTTTCTCTCCCAGTTTGTTAACCAGCTCTGCAATATTTCGTAACCCACTCAATCTCTGTCACCAATCGCATTATATCTCGTCGCCCTCTCAATCCCGGGTTCTCTTCTATGACTGGGCTATAAAAGAGGGAGTGCTAGAGATTGAGAAGGCCAAGGAAATGCAATGCTTTCTTGGCCAGAGATTGAGAGGGCATCCCTTCGGCCCAACAACGTAGTTTTAGAGGAGAGACAGTGATTGAGAGGGGAGTGAAAATGTACTGCAGTTGGTAACAGAGATTGAAAGGGCATACTGTCAAAAACTTCACTAACAAATGATAGTGTGCTTTTACATCAGCTGCGTGGTACACTTGGCGCACATAGGAACTGAAGGGACACTCTTATGAAGGCAAAAAATTTTTTTTACAAAAAGTCTCATCTGCAGCAGTGAGTTGTTCCGCACCCTCATACTGGGCTTAAAGTAAGCCTGCGGCTGTCAGAGCTAGGTGTCAACTGGCCTATAAAAAAGCATACACACGCACAGCATGGACCGTCACAATATGAGTTTTTGTGAGTTTTTGCATATATGCAAATTGCAAAAAAGCAAATTGACGGGAGGCACGCAAATTGACAAGAGGCACCCTATCTTGCACCCTGTCCTTTTTTCCTCCCATGCGCGCGTGTTTCGCAACCTACGACATGTTTTCTGCCAGCGATGATCAGTAAATAGTTTTACAAATATTTTATTAGCAGCAGAACCTAACAAAAACAACATTCTAAAGACTATAAATAAAAGAACCATTTTTGTTAACAAATCACATGCGCCATAACCGAGCACTGGAATATGGCGTTTCCTTTTGAAACAGCACAACACACTTACATAATAAACAAAATACAGTACATTTTATCCAGTCAATACATTTACACATATGAACACAATACATATACATATGAATTTATATAATAAATATATAACATTTCTTAAATACACGCGCCGCGCTCCTTTGAAAGCGGGGTCTTCAAACGCAGATCCCAAATTCATTGTCGGAATAATCCTGGTATTCCAGACAGGCCCAGCAGCCTGCGTCTGCTGCTCCGGCTATCTGAGCCATCTGAAAATAAAACTTATGCGCCTTCTAGCATTGCATTCATAACTTCAGTCAGACACTACTTCCACTTTAGTCATTTTTGCATTATTTCCTGAAAAGATGGGCCAAATGGAGAAGCTGTTAATTCGAAATTTAGAGACAAAAACTTCTTCATTCGCTATCTTTAGAAAGTGAAGACGCTTGCAAGCAGCTCAAGTGATGCTTGCTTTATTACTTTCAGTAAATAAAGTCTCCGCCAATGTGGTCTTTCAAAAAATTCCTAAAGGTGGCCTTCCCCATCTTTCTCTTCTCACTTCGACCGCGCTACGTGGCTAAGCCATTGCTCGAGAATATAGCTTCTTACTTTTCAACTGTGATCTTTTCTTGTTAGATATTGTAAATTACTGGCAGTGCCACAACAGTATCATTGTTTACCTTGTCTTTTTCTTTTCTATTCATCGAGGCCTTAACAACGGGGTAAGCGCTGCTGCATTAGTGCTCACCCTGGCTGTTGTTCGGGTTGCTACCTCCTGTACACATTCTTGTTCAAGAAACTCGTCCCAGCAAATACCCAAAACAAACCAACAAACCTGCAAACTATGGGATTATACAAAAGTAGCACATCATAAGATTCCCGAACGGACAGACTAGTAGTTCTACTGGCGGAGCTGACTTCTCGGCATTCAGAACGAAAATGGTGGTACCCACCACCCTATGTCTGCCAGCTGATTAGGCTGATATAGATGAACCACGATGCATGTTAGAAGATATTCAGCTAAGAAGTGCAAAGCAGCAACCACTCTAGCTGTTAAAGATTTGACTGCTTCAAGATTCGTGCAAAAACGCATGACCGTATCGGCAAGCCCAGTGCGTCACTACTTGCCTTCATAATTTTCTCAGTGCTTAAACACAATTATCCTGGCGAGTGCTAAGCCACCACATTAGAGGCAGTGGTGTAAACAGAGAGTTGCTGGTATCTGGGCTGCCCTTCAGGGATGCAAAAAAAGAGAAATTACTTGAGCAATTTGTTTCTCTCGCTCCGTCGCTGTCGTCCCAGTTCGTACTTTCCGGCCAATTGCATCTAGCCGCCGAATGGCGCCGCCACCGTTCGGTAACTCTAATTCAAGCATTTCTTCATGCTTCGCCGTTTCATGCTGAAATAAAAATGGCAATTAGAGTGAAGTCTAAAATATGCCTGGTCCCATCTGTACCAAGCGGTTTCTAGCTTTGCAGTATGCGCTAGCCACCTTCCATGGACGGATCCGTTGTGATATCATTCACTAACACTCACGTCCCCTGGCCGTCAAAAACGCGAGCGATATGTCTTGCCCGTTACATTTCACTTTCTGTTATGCTCTCAATAGTATTTTGCACGTTACTTATTCATTTAGCGAGTCGGGCCCCATCATACAGATGATCAGAATTTGCATCCACATTTCATACGCCGAAATCATACAGCATCTCTAGCCCGTTCAACAACTGTCCACGCGAAATTAAACTCGAACGTCTGTCTCTTCGAGCTGTTGCAAATACTCTCAACAAACATGGCCATCATTCCGTCCGAGCACTGACTGCACTGCAAGCCCTCACTTTGCTACGAATACTTCTCTGTACAAGAGCTACAATCACTTTCATGCAAAAGCGCCTTTTTTATTATGCGTCCACCTCCGATCCAGTGACCAAAGGAACAAGCTCAGTCTACGTTGGCGCTAGCATATCTCCTGTCCACCCAGTGACTATCGGTGGGAAGGGAAACGGAAGAGAAGTCCATGTAGAGCCTAACTGAGAAATGCTACAATTGAAGTGAAACAAAAGTAACACACCTTTCGAGCAGAATCTCCTGTTTCATCAGGCTGTCCTCTCGACCCCTTGCTTGAAGAGGAGTCGAGGCAAATCTCCTTTAATATTCCCCTCCCCATAAGCGATCCCAGCTCAGCAGCGGCGCCTGCAATTACTATCATCAGTAGCTGGTAACGGACAATAACCGAACAGGACGATGCCCGGGATCACGACTTCCCGGGAGTCTCTCTCATATACCACACCGCTGTATGCGCCGCAACAATAGCACCACTCGCAGCAGCATAAATGTCAGGATTACAGGCCAAATCAAATATCCTTGAGCCGTCACTCTTTTGCCCTGTGCTCCGAAAGATTTGTACTCGTCCGCCAGTATAACGTCTCAGTTCTCATGTGAATAATTACCACGTGCTACGGCAGGAGATGTACTGTTAATTACCCAGTGCATTGCTTTTCCTCTTCCCTCCTTCCCCCTCCCGTCGCCAACCCTGTACTTCAACTCCCCCACTTATCCACAAAAATTCACAAAACCGAGCACAACCACCCACAAAACCTACCATAACCAGTCCACAAAGCCGGCCACAATAATCGATTGCTTGCAACGCTTAAGGAAAAGCACACGTGTTCTCAAATCAGCCAAAAGCAGGAACCACGGATTCTTTTCAGGATCGAGGGGAAATCTCTACTGCAGCACGCTTCTGACCTGCTTAAGCAGTCACTGTGGGTATCCCATGCTAGTTGTCATAACACAGTACCAAGACTGCCGATGTTGAGATTCTATGTTGGAGCTTGATCTACATGCACGTACGAGCCCCAACCCTCAAAATAGGCGTCATTACCCACGTGGTACCCGCGTACAGGCCCGCCAAAGTTTTTTTCGGGTAAGTTCATAACTCGGGGATCTAAGAAGCTAGAAGGCTGAAATC